ACAAAGGAAGCAAAAGACCTCTACACTGAAAACCGCAACACTCTGAAAAAAGAGATTGAAGAGGGTATAAGAAAATGGAAAGACATCCCTTCTTCTAGGGTGGGAAGAACCAATATGGCCATACTACCAAAACTTCTATACAGATTCAACACAATCCCAGTTGAAATCCCAACAGTACATTTCATAGAACTAGAGAAAACCATCCAAAAACTCATTTGGAATAAGAACAGACCTAGAATAGCAAAAGCAATTCTAGGCAACAGAGACAAGGTAGGGGATATCACAATCCCCAACTTGAAACTATACTACAAAGCCACTGTGATAAAAACAGCATGGTACTGGCAAAGAAACAGACCCCAGGATCAGTGGAATAGATTAGAAAATGCAGAAACAACTCCAGACATACTCAGCTACCTCATCTTTGAAAAAGGAGCCAACCATCCTCACTGGAGGAAAGATAGCCTCTTTAAGAAATGGTGCTAGAAAAAGTGGATTTCAACCTGTTTAAGTTTAAAACTAGACCCCCATCTCTCACCATGCACTAAACTAAAATCCAAATGGATTAAAGTTCTAAATATTAAAACAGAAACACTAAACTTGCTGTAAGATAAATTAGCTGTAATTTTTTAAGACATTGGCATAGGAAAAGACTTTGTGAACAAATCCTCAATAGCACAGGAACTAGCACAAAAAAATCAACAACTGGGATCTCATATTTTAAAAAATCTTCCACACTGCAAGAGAAACCACCAACAGAGCTAAGAGACAACCTACAATGTGTGAAAAAAATTTTCAATGCTGTTCCTCAAAGATCTACTATCTAGAATATATAAAAAACTAAAAAAACATCATACCCCCAAATGTATAATCCCAATTCAAAAATAGGCATCTGAAATGAACAGACATTTCTCAGACAAAGAAGAAAAGCAGCAAATAAATATATGACAAAATGTTCAACACCACTGGTCATCCCAGAGATGCAGATGAAAACAACACTGAGATTCCACCTCACCCCAGAAAGAATGGCTGCTATGAAGAAATCAACCAATAACAAATACCAGTGGGGTTGTGGGGAGAATGTAATCCTTCTCCACTGTTGGTGGGAGTGCAGCCTGGTGCAACTACTGTGGAAATCAATATGGAGATATGTCAAACAACTAGGATTTGAAGTCCCATTTGAACCCACTATTCCCCTGCTGGGTATCTTTGCAAAAGAATTCAAAGAATCATACCACAGTGATATGTGCTCACCATTGTTTATAGTGCCACAGTTTGTAATGGCTAAAACTTGGAAACAGCCCAGTTGCCCATCAGTTAAAGACTGGATCAAGAAGATGTGTGTGTGTGTGTGTGTGTGTGTGTGTGTGTGTGTTTGTGTGTGTGTTTAAATAAAATGAAGTACCACTCAGCCATAAAGAACAAGAAACTAGAGACATTTATAGCTAAGTGGATGCATATTGAGGCCATACTCAAGTGAAATTAGTAGGACACACTTGTGTAAATACTGAATAGTTTCTCTGATATGATTGATAAACTAAAAGTGTAAAGAATCAAAATGTATAATTGATATTGTGTTATAGGAAACACGTCTAAAGGTGTAGGGGAAGTAGAAGGGGTAGGGAAAAGCTAAGAATGGAAAAGAAAAAAAAGAGAAAATGAAAAAAATGGAAACAAAGTCTCTGTAAATAGGGAAGGTTGGAGGGGGTGAAGGGAGGGCAGGCATATGGGGAAAAAATAAGAACCAAGATAAATAATGTGAAGGTACAAGATCCCAGTGATGAATGTAACTGTATTGTATACCTAAAATGTACCAATAAAGAAAAAAGGGAAAAAAGTAGAAATTAAGTGACTCAGGAAATGTGAGGTAGCATGTTATGGTAATGTGTAAAATTTCTGTCTTTATCATCTCGTATAATCTATGCACCCCCCACAAAATGATTAACATTGATACTTCCATTTTAATCAAAGAAAATGGAGAACAAACCAGTCAGGTCAACTAACTAGTGGGAAGTAGACAAAGCAAGAGTTCGGGTTCCAACAGCTGAGCTTTAGGAAGAGCTAGTTTCAGAAGGAAAGATTTTGATCAGAGTCAGAAGGAGGCTGCCAAATTGCCATTCCTTACAATCTTTGTGAAAGTGAATTGGTCAAACTTCTGCGGTTGTTTCCTATACCATGAGGAAAAAGACAACACCAGTCTGCTAGAGGTTCTGTTGCTCGATTTGAACAGATATCGGGAATTGGCAAAGTACAGCTCCTTTTGATGTTTACAGCTCTGGGCTCTGAGTGCCAGTGCTTCTTTGCTCTTAGTACTACAGGTCTAAGCTGTGAGTGCCAATATCAGCAATTCTTGGGCTCCCAGCTGTTACATCAACTCCTCAGCAACCAGAGCTCATAGCCCCCTTGATGGCTTTTTGGAGCTCTTCTAGTATCTCTCTAGGGCTCTCAAGCAGCTTTCTGCAGGTTTCTGCAGGTCTCCACTATTCTTGGCTCTTTGCTGCTCTGCTGCTTTCTGTGGCTCTTCAGCCCCCAGATGGCCGCCAAGCATGGCCAGGGCTAACAGCTCTCAGCGTTACCACCTAGACAAAAGACACGACTAGGCAGTAGAGTAGGGCCATCCAAACAAAGCTTTTAATGGGACCTATGCTGCAGCACAGGACGTTAGAGCAGAGGATCCCGACCTGCTGGACCGACTATGAGTATGAGGGAACACTGGGTCTGACTGCATATTCAGCTTCCTGCATCTAGCAGACTTATCTGCGAGCTTTGGGAATATTGGCCGAGGGGGTGGTGTCATCTGGAGAGGTTACAGGACAGAGTCATCCAGAGAGGCTGCAGAGCAGGGGTCATCTGGGATAGATCTGTATCTGAATCCTGATGTAGCCAAGGCAAATATCTCCCAGACTAGCCATGGGGTGCCTAGAACAACCTCAGCTGTCATAGTGACAGCTTGGCCCAACTGCTAGATAAGTGCCCATTTAACAATGCCCACCATTTGAAGCCAACTGAGGGGTTGAAGTCATGCCTGCTGCTGCTGCTTACAAGGAATTCCCAGGAGTGGTGACAACTGTCGATCCTGGTCCAATAGTGTTTTAAGGACATGGGCAATGACAGCAACAAGTCTGTCCCTGATCTTTGTCCTGTCAGATCCAGATAAATGGCAGCAGCACCTGAGCCCTAAGCAGTGCAGCGGTGGGGGGGGGGATAAGGTTTTAAGTGGCCCCCTAGAGAGTAGTTGCCTTGGCAACTGCACAAGGGACCGGAAGAGCCTGGAGTGAGTAGCCCTGGGTCATCCTTGGATCAGCAAGGGGAAGAGGGGTGTGATGGCTGGCAGTCAAAGGGAAAAGGCAAGGCTTGGGCCCCATTTTTTCATCTCAAGGGTACTTATCCATTAGGCACAGTAGATGAGTTGACCAGAAGCTACCATATGTTAGGGATCCACAAAAATGGCTTAATTTCTGATATAAAATAAGGATTATGGAAAAGGTGGTCATGTAGTCAAAAACAGGATAACCACATACTCTGTCAAGGATAGGTTCTCATTGTTAAAAGGTAGTCTCAATGTTCAGCACAATAAGTCTGGCAGCATCAACAAACATTTCTTGAAGAAATTCAGACCAATCCATCTGTTCTGGTTCTCTTTATATGACAATAAATACAAATTTTTCCTTATTACCTTTCCCCTACCCTACCCACTTCCCCTACACCTTTAGCCCTTTTCTTCCTATGAAGGTAATAAGGGAAAAAACACGAGAAAAGGAAAAAATGGAAACAAAGACTTTGTTAATAGGGGAGGGTCGGGGGGTGTTAAGGGAGGGCAGGGACAAGGGGAAAAATGAGAACCCAGACCGGTCATGTAAAGGTACAAGATCCCAATAATGAATGTAACTGTACTGTATACCTAAAATGTACCAATGAACTCAAAGAGAGAGAGAAAAAAATTTCCTGAGGAAGAGCTAAGGAACACATTTCTAGAAAAATAGAAGTAGAGGGAAAGGGGAGGGGGCAGCAACAAGAAAGGGGAGAATTCCCCCCCCCCGATTCATAGCATCAACTCAGGATGAGGAAAAAGTGTGCTTTTGTAGAGGGTGTGTAGCAAGAGACATAGCAGAAGTTGTAGGGATCAAAATAGCTGTGACCAAGGTTCAAACAAAAGCCCCACTACAGTTGAGACAGCCTGTCTTGCTGTAAACACTGTGCAGGCTTCTACTCTTGCATTCGGATCTAGACTTTCTCAAGGAGTGGCACACATTTTGCAAAGTGTGCCCATCAAAGCAGCCAGCTCCGCAAACCCAGCTCCAAGCTCTTGTTCCTGAAGACTCAGAAAGCATGGCAGGGGCCAGGGGTTTAGCTCAGTGGTGCCACCGCCTCCTCTGCAAGCACAAGATTCCGAGTTTGATCCCCGGTATTTAAAAAATAAATTGGGAGGGGGGGCTAGGGATTTAGCTCAGTGGTTTCGGAGCCTGACTCACAAGCGCAAGGACCCGAGCTCGATCCCCAGTACAAAAAAACAAAACAAAACAAAACAAACAAACAAAAAAAACCCCAAAAACCAAACAACCACCCCCCCAAAAAAAAACAAAAACCAGAAAGCATGGCAGGCTCTGACTCCAGCCTCTGCAAAAGCTGAGAGCAAGAGGCCTCCTAACTAATCACACTAGTTTTATTCCTGTTCCTGCCGAATACTGGCTGCTGGTTGCGCAAGGCTAGGTTAAGAAGTATTCTCCAACTATTTCTCCAAGGCCTCAGACTTAGCATGTGGTCTGTTGCGCCCTGCAAAATAGTTCGTACAGTTCAGCACATTCCCTTCCCTAGCAAGATACTTTAAGGCCAGAATAGTCAGCTAAGCTGCACCTCGGAGGCCCATGTTCTGCAGTAGTACATGTCTATCTGCCCGCCAAAACAGGACATCTATGAGTGGATACACTGTAACTGGGTCTTGGTGCCAGGCAGAAAACCCGTTCTGCCAATCACATCTCAGACTTTGCTCGGGTGATCACGCGGTGAACTGCTCAGAATCTTCAGAAAGCGGCACAGCCTCGCTGACTGACGGTCCTCAGAATATGGAGCCTTTGGAAGGTTACGACCACAATTTCCTCAGCCTGGGAGTCGAGAAGGACCAGGAGGAACAGCATGGTCAGTGCCTGGACCAGATTAGTGCTTTAGCGAGCTCCAAGAAGCTAATATTCCCGGGGAGAGACAAGTAAACCGACACTGCCCTCCCCCACCCTGTCACGGCACCGCGCCTTCCCTCGGACCCGGTTTTGAAGCACTGATCTTTTTCTTTGTTCCCTCTTTCCAGATATGAAACCAACTGCTGAAGAGAAAAAAGATGGGGAAGTGGATGTACAACGTGAGGCTACGCAAGGAGAGGCAGCAGAAGAGAGAGGGGAAAACGGAGAAGAAGGAGGAGGAGGGGATCAGGTCGGCGCCAGCACTCTTGATCCCATAGACCACAGATACGAAGAAAGCAGTGGTTCAAGCAGCAGCGGTGACCAGGAACAGGAGGAGCTGAATCCCGAGGAGGACGAGACTGGCAGGGACCAGCAAAGGCTCCTCCAGCATACTAGTCATCCTAGTTTCACCCAGTTGCAGCTGCGGGAATTGGAGAACTATTTCCAGTACAACAGGAGCCCCAGCAGACCAGAGAGGTAGGCAAATCGCCCAGCTTGGCTCTGGGTTTGGTGTTGGTCTAAGGAAGCCTTCGGCTGTCTCCCAGGTCCCATTTTCCCCGCTCTTGAAATAAAAGCCAAGGAGGCTCCTCAGAGTGGGTGTGGGGGTAGGGATGGGGGCTGTGCTAACTGGTGAAAGTAAATATTTTCATGAAGCATTTAAAGAATCAAGTTGGGAAACTTTGGACAGTGCTTGGTTTTTTGTTTGTTTGTTTGTTTTAGTGTGTGTTTTTTAAAAATGTATGTGTTTTATTTTGGTCCTCCGAATTGAACCTGGGGCATGGCACGCACTCGGCAAGTGCTTTACCGCGGAGCTAAAAACCCTAGCCCGTATTTACACTATTTTTAGACAAAGTCTTGCTGAATTGTTCAGACTGGCCTGGAATTTAAGATCCTCCTGCCTCAGCCTCTGCAGAAGGTGATTTCAGGCATGTGCCACTATGCTCAGCTAGCAACTGTTTTTTATAAACAGGTTCCTGTTAGAAACAGGATAAAAAGTCTTAGGCATTGTTAAACCAGTGCAGGGTGGGATGCTGCCTGTATTTAAATTTTCATTAAATCTGTTCATTATGGATTGTTATTTTGCATTAATTTTTATATTTTAAATACACTTGAACATGATTCTTTTGATTTCTGATATTTTGGCCTCCCTTTAATGTTTGTACCTGAGAGAAAACTGTCCTTAAAGCAAGCCTTAATGTGTATACTACAGAATAATGTGTGTGTGTATGTGTGTGCTGGGGGGAGGTTTATCTATCAGAACAAAACAATTAAAAAAAACACGAAATGTACTGTAAAAATTTTGTTATCCCAAATGCCAAATGCTGAACCTCTGCAACTTTTTCCCCTCAGAAGAGAATTTGCAAGATGCCTGGGTGTGCCTGAGGCCAGAGTGGAGGTGAGTAAATCTGAAAAAAGCAATGTGGCAGGGCAGCCACTTGAGAACCAGCTTCAGGGCTTGGACTTTTTCTCTAGGACATCATCATGTTGGTATATTTTGGTTGCCTTCTCCATGTTCAAGAAATGAGCTTTGAATTTTAGGGTCTTTGTGGGTGGAAAGCATAATAGGAAATCCCTAGCATATAGAAATTTCCCATTTTCAGAGGGAACATGACTTTCTAAATGAAAAAAGTATAGTACTGAATTATTTTTTATTTTTTGCATGTCTGTGTATATTTTAACATAAATAAGAATTCTAAATTAGGAAAATAGATATATATTGTATATACACACATAACTACATGAAGTACAACTGTCTATAATGAAGTTCCATTCCTAACATTGGTATCTTTTAAGTGTTATTTCCATATGGAAAATATTCAAAAGAGTGTACTAAGATGCCGTGTGGCACTAAATTACTTAAAATATTTAAAATCAAGCATAAACTAATTTCTTAAGAGTGAAATTTGTAAATATTTAGGCATTTGGAGTGAGGGAAAAATTCACAGCCAGAACACAACACATGTGTAATTAACATGTGTTAGTTAAATTGGGCCTGATGGGAAGGGAACCAGCATAAGGCCCAAACACAAGCTACTCCTGCTGTTGTTTTGTTTTGTTTTTAAGTCATTGGTAAAGCTTGTACAAAGATTGGCAGCTCTAACTTTTAATTTTCTGGGATACCTTGAAGTGTCAGCCTGAAAATATTGCTAGCATAGTAGGTTGTAATAACGGGCAACCTTTGGAAATTTCTCCGAAACAAAAACTAAAAGAACAGTGTGGTAGAAATTTTTACTGACCTGAGAAAAGGGGAAGTGTTGACAAGAATTGTATATACTATATGGCTTGGAGAAACTACACACATTCAATTTTTTTTTTTTTTTACAGTGCTGGGGATTGAACTTAGGGCCTTTGCACTGAGCTACACCCAAAGTCCGTTTTTTTTATTTTGAGATAGGGTCTTGCTAATTTACCCAGGCTGAGCTCTAACTTGTAATCTTCCTGGCTCAGCCTTCCAGAGTTCTAGGATTATGACATGCATCACCATGCTTGGGTCATCCTCGACTTTTCTGAAACTAGCAATTGTATTAGTGAATATATTCTTGAGCAATGTCTAACACCTAAGAGAACTTTTCTTCCTTGTTGTTGTGCTGTTATGAGGAAGTGTGCTTTCTGGAACATGTTGATGGTTCTATGATTTGAAATTTTTTCATTTGCTCAGGCACTGATAACTAATTTGTAGGTCACTGGATCCAAAGGTGATTATTTGAGGTCATAGAAAGCCATAAATTGAAGAAAAAAAAAAGTTGTAAGATGTGTTAAAGGAGTTTTGGAAAGGGAAAAGAAGAAGAAAGAAAAGAGACCACCAACAGTGGAGAAGGATTCCTTTTTGTCCATAGCCCTGGTAGCATTTGTTATTGGTTGATTTCTTGATAACAGCCATTCTTTCTGGAGATCAAATGTCGGTGTTGTTTTAATTTGCATCTCTCAAGTGACTAGTGATGTTGATCATTTTTTCGTATATGCATTTTCTGGTTCTACTTCTTCATCTGAGAAGTGTCTAGTCATTTCAGATGCCCATTTTTGAATCGGGTCTTTAAATTTGGGGAGTCTGATTTTTTTGAGTTCTTTTTATATTCTAGATATTGGTCCTTTGTCAGAGGAACAGCCTGCAAAAAACTTCTTTTTCCCATTCTGTGGGTTGTCTCTTAACTCTGTTGGTGGTTTCTCTTGCTGTGCCAAACCTTTTTAATAAGATGAGATCCCAGTTGTTGGTTCTTTATGATAGTTCCTGTGCGACTGAGGTTTTGTTCATAAAATCTTTGCCTACACTAATGTCTTTGAGAGTTATGCCTATTCATCTTCTAGCAGATTAAGTGTTTATATTTTTATATTTAGATCTTTGATCCATTTTGATTTTAGTTTAGTGCATGGTGAACATATGGGTCTAGTTTTAATCTTCATCAAGTGGAAAACCAATTTTCCAGCACTATTTATTAAAGAGGCTATCTTTCTTCCAACCGTTTGGCTCCTTTGTCAAAGATAAGGTGGCTGAGTGTGTCTGGAGGTGTTTCTACACCTTCTAATCTGATTCATTGATCCCAAGGACTGATTGATTGATTGATTGATTGATTGCCAGTACCATGCTATTTTTATCACACTAGCTTTGTAGTATAATTTCACATCAGGGATTTTGACATGCCCTGCCTTACCTTAGTTGCCCATAATTGCATTTGCTCTTCTAGTTCTCTTCTGGTTCCAAATGAATTGTAGGGTTAATTTTCTAATCCTGTGAGATATTCTTTCAAGGAAATTTTGAAGGTAGAATTACCCACATTTCCAATAAGGGAGAAGATAATGTTTCCATAGATTGCCAAACATTTGACATGAATACTTTAAAAAATGCTTTTTTTGGGGGTACTGAGGATTGAACCTAGGGAGCTGTTGAGCTAAAACTCAGCCTTTTAAATTTTATTTTTTAAATTTTGAGACAGGATCTCACTAAATTTCTCAGACAGACCTCAAACTCTCAATCCTCCAGCCTCAGCTTTCCAAGTGCTAGGATCACAGGCATTGGCCATCTGGCTTCAAATAACTTTTGCAAACTTAACTTTATTGGTACACTTACATGATGATCACATTCATCATAAGGAATATGTACCTGTATATAATATATCTTGAGTCTTCTTTTTCTCCTATTTCCTTCCTCTGCCTTTAACCCTTCTTCCCTTTCTCATTCATAAAAGTTTTTTTTTCATTTTCCTTCTATTCTCCTTTTCTTTATTTTCCTTTCTTTCGCTTCTCCCCTCTCCCTTTTTCCATTCTCATTTGAACATTTTCTTCTGACTTCCCAATATCTACCATCCATTTTGGTCCTTATTTTTACTTTCAGTTTCTCACTCAAAAGAAACACTGTGATGTTTAAACCTATGTGTTGGGCCAGGGATTTAGCTCAGTGGTTCCGGTGCCTGCCTCGCAAGCACAAGGACCTGAGTTCGATCCCTGTTACCAAAAAATAAAAATAAAATAAAATAAATAAACATATGTGTCCAGTTTACTTCATTGGAAATTATGGTCTCAAGGTGCTTTCATTTACCTAAAAAAAGTCTCAGGTTCACCCTTCTTTATGGCAGAATAGTACTCCATTGCAAATAAACACCGCATTTTCTTTATCCATTCATCTGTCGATGGATACAGATGCTGTTTCTGAGATTTAGCTGTTACAAACTGTACTGCTTTAAACACAGATGTGCGTATATTGCTGTGACATGATGCTTTTAATTCTTTTAGGGAGATATCAAGAAGGAGAATAGCTGTGTCAAATGGAACCTCTAGTTTTACTTTTTTAGGAATCTCCTCACTGATTCCCACAGTGGCTGCACCAATCTACACTCCCAGTAGAGAAGGGTTCCTTTTTCTCCACAGCCCCACCAGCATTTGTTATTGGTTGATTTCTTCGTAGCAACCATTCTTTCTGGGGTGAGGTGAAATCTCAGTGCTGTTTCAATTTGCATCTCTCAAATGACCAGTGCTGTTGAACATTTTTTCATATATTTATTTTCTGTTTTTCCTTCTTTGTCTGAGAAATGTCTATTCATTTCAGATGCTAATTTTTGGATGGGTCTATAAATTTGGGGTTCTGATTTTTTTTAGTGCTTTTTATATTCTAGATAGTAAAATCTGTCTGAGGAACAGCTGAAAAACTTTTTTCCCATTCTGTGGGTTGTCTTTTCACTCTGTTGGTGGCTTCTTTGGTTGTGCAGAAGCTTTTTAATATGATGAGATCCTAGTTTTTGTTTGTAATATTTCCTGTGCAATAGAGTTTTTGTTCATAAAGTCTTTGCCTACCCCTGTGTTTTTGAGTTTTACCTTCCACCAGTTTAAGTGTTTCTGTTTTTTATATTTAGAACTTTGATCCATTTTTTAATTTTAGTTTAGGACATGGTAAGAGATATAGGTCTAAGTTTTAATCTTTGGCATGTGGAAAGCCAGTTTTCTCAGCATTATTTATTATAGAGGCTATCTTTCTTCAGTGAAGGTGTTTGGCCTCTATGTCAAAGATAAGGTGGCTGAGTATGATTGAAGTTGTTTCTTCGTCTTCTATTCTGTTCCATTTATCTTTGGGTCTGGGTTTTGTGGGGTGTTTGTTTGTTTGTTTGTTTTTGCTAGTATCATGCTGTTTTTATCATGGTAGCTTTAGTGTGACTTCAAATTGGGGATTGTGATACCTTCTGCCTTGCCCTTGTTGCCCAGAACTGGTTTTGCTGTTGTAGGTCTCTTCTGGTTCCATGTGAATTTTGAGATTGTTTTCTCTTTCTTTCCTATGCTGAGCATTCATGGATTCCATCATGATCCTGAATTCATCTATTTTTTCCATCTGTTTCTGTTCTAGAGAGTCTAATCATGTTTTTTATTCTGCTCATCCTTTCTGTAGTTATCTTGGAAATTATTCTTGTTTTGAAATTTTCTAGAGCCTCATTTATCTGTTTTTTTTGTTTGTTTGTTTTTTTTTTTTTGCTTCCTGTGCTGTCATTTCAGGTTGTCCAGGTGGTTGATTATCAAACTTTTCCATCTCAAGCTTTTTAATATGACGAGATCCCAGTTGTTGATTCTTTGTGCTAGTTCTTGTGCTACTGAGGATTTGTTCATAAAGTCTTCCTATGCCAATATCTTCAAGAGTTCTACATAACTTATCTTCCAGAAAGTTTAGTGTTTCTGTTTCAGTCTTTTTAGATTTCTGTTTCTGTTTGGATCCTTAATCCACTTGGGTTTTAGTTTAGTGCATGGTGAAAGATAGGGATCTAGTTTTAATCTTTGACAAGTGGAGATACTTGGGTCTTTTGTCAAAGAAGAGGTAGTTGTTTCTGCATCTTCTAATCTGTTCCACTAATCCTCAGTTCTGTTTCTTTGCCAGTACCATGCTGTTTTTTATCGCAGTGGCTTTGTAGTGTAAGTTCAAGTTAGGGATTGTGATTACTCACTGTCATGTTTGTTGCCTAAAATTGTTTTTTCTATTCTAGGTCTCTTCTGATTCAAAATGAATTTTTGGATTGTTCCCTCTACTTCTGTGAAATATACTGTTGGGATTTCAATAGGGATTGCATTCAATCTGCATAACAGTTTTGGAAGTATGGCCATTTTCACTATATTGGTTCTTCTTACCCTAGAACAAGGGATATCTTTCCAGTTTCTGATATACTCCAATCCCCTTTTTCAGAGTACTGTACTTTTCAATGTAAAGGTCTTTCACTTCCTTTGTTAGACTGATTCCTGACTATTTCATTTTTCTTGATGATATTGTGAAAGGTGGGGTTTCCCTAATTTCTCTCTCAGTGAGATTGTTATTTGTGTACAAGGAATGCTATTGATTTTTGAGTGTTGACTTTGTATCCTGCTACACTGTCAAATATGGTTATTAATTCTAGGAGTCTTTGGGTGGTGTTTTTGGGGTCTTCTAGGCAGAGCATCATGTCATAAAACTTTTAATAGACCCTTTCCCTCTATTTTGTAAACAAAACAAGAGATGTTTTATGAATGAAATATTGGTAACAGAGACCTCACTTTGGACCCTACACCATTCAACTTGCTTTTGGTATTGATTATGTTTATGAAACTTCAGCCACTAGTACCTTTGAATCTCCCTAAAATGAGCATCGTTACTTTGGACTTTCACACTATATAGTCACTAGATAGAAGAACTCCAAATAGTAACATGGGAAGGGGGAAAGTGAAGCTTCAAGCAGGAAGAAAAAACCCCTTTGGCTCGTAACATTTGCAGCTCTAGAGCTCAATGATACAGCAGAAACCTCTTTAACTAGGGTGCTGAGAGGATAGTGCTGTTTTAATTAACAGGTCTTTGCTTTTGGTCTTTTAGTAGTTTAGAGGTGTTTAGGGAATCATGTTTTCTTGACACCTCTCCCCATTATTATCAAAAATCATAATAAAAATACCTATTTGAACCCTCTTACTGTATACTGATGTGATTGGAATCTTCTACTTGAGGATTAGGACTAATTGGCTGAAGGCATCCAAACAAGTTAGGCAAGCACCGTGTCTGCTGTCTCAGAAGATGAGACTGTAGGGAGATCAGAGTCACCTGATCCTAGGAAGGTTTGGTAGGTGGCATGGATTGGAGCATGCACGCATAACAATGCCTGTTCCCCTGCGAACTCTTGTGTAAGCAAAAGGTGAATTGGGCTGACTTAGTCTAAATATTTATTATTCCAAAGCTTATTATATCAAAACAGAGTCCAGGGCCTCAGTTAACCTCATGCCCCAAGAAGACGAACCACAAACTCCCTGGTGTCCTAAGGCAAGGCTTCCCTTGGTGTCATAGTTTTAACCTTCAAGATGTTTCTTAGTCACCCTAGGAAATTTTTTGTTTAAGAATCTTATTATTTATTCACACTTAAGATGGGCTTTTCAAAGTAGAGCCACTCCCCTTGTTATGACTTTAAAAGATGCCCACTTTTCACCAAGCTCAGGTTTTCCACAATCAGGGTGACACTTGCCTGGTGACAGGGGTTGGAGACAGTTGGACAGCTGGTGATCAATGGTCAGAGAGTGGATACAGCACACATAGCAACAGCAGCAGGATTGAGTCTAATTCATGAGGTACACTTGCACCTCAGAATGAAAAATATAAGATAGTATTAAAAGAAGGAGAAAGAACAAATATAAGCTAAGCCAGAGCTTGACATATAGTTGCAGCTCATTAGAGGAGGGATGCAATTACTAAATTTCCTAAGATATTTTAGCAATAAGAAAGTAACTTCGGATTCAGTTGAAAATATGACATATGGAATTGCCCGCCATGTTGTTTCTTTTATGGCATTAAATACTTGGTATACTAAACTAATCCCCTTTTTTTCCCTCTCTCATTGAAGGTTTGGTTTAAGAACAGGAGAGCCCGTTGGAGAAGATATCAGAGGGCACAAAGGGTCAGAAATGCACGCCGTGTGTGCCCCAGCAACCCTGTTCATGTAATCTCGGGGGCCCCCTATTGTCCCATGTACGTGATGAGGCCCAGTGGTATATGGCTTCATGTGCAGCCAACACTGGTCTGGCCATTCAGGGTGCACTTGGTGCCCGTGGTGCCCATCCAGCCTAGAGCCCCTGTGGCACCCATGCCACCCATGCCACACGTGCTGTTCTTCCCTCATGTGCTCGTGCCTTCACCCCTGATATTCTTGCCTGCGCCTCCATATGGTTTGACCATGTTTAACTTGGTTTGGTTCCCTCCTGCCAACATTCCTTTTGTAGTCTATACTTACTGGTACTAAGAAATAGTCTGCGTGGCCTATTTTTCTTAAGCGTTTTGGGGCCAGATACAGAGTTTGTGTAGCACACTGTTAAGAACAGCTCGCCAAACATTTTAAGATGGAAGTATAAATTCATTGTCCCACTTATAGGGCACATTTTTGAATTTCAATAAAGTTACAAAATTTGCATCCATTATTTGTTTTGTGTATTACATGGGATCAGTAAATTATGAACAGAAATTGCTAAGAAAATGCTGTTCAAGTCACATAGCCAGGAGGCCTCCATTTATACTATGAGATCCTTGGCTCACCATCCAGGGCTGCGCATATGATGAAAGTTTCCCAGTGCCCATGGCAGATTTATTCTGACTTATACATCCTCCTCCACGCTTCCCTTCTGCCACTGTATACTTGCCCTTCATGCACCACTGGGATTATACACGTACCCAAGATGGGGTGGCATGGGTCCCTAAGGGAGAACAGTGTTTCAAGGCAGGGCTGAAGTTCACTCATGCTGGTGAAACTGCTTGGGAGGCTTCTCTTAGGGCCATTTTTTTCTTGATGCTAAAGATTGAACCCACATAGTGCCTTTGCAATGAGCTACATCCCTAGCCCTTTATAAATTTTTTGAGACTTTTTGAGACAGAGTCTTGATAAATTGCCTAGGCTAGGCTCAAACTTTTGATTTTCCTACCTCAACCTTCAGTGTTGGATTATAAGAGTGTGCCACCATGCCCAGCTACTTCCAGGGCTTTATGCAGAAGTCGGGAGGTATCCACTTACAGCCCTACACATTCTGCTCAGTGCCTTGCCTTTTTGAGCAAAGCACACAGGAATGGAATCCGTGCTTATATGGCACTCCTCCTCCTTCAAAGGAAACAGAAGACATGCTAGCAAGCCAGGGCGAGGCTTTTGTCTCTTTCCTGTCCACCACCCCCGTGAAATGAGCACCTTCTCCAGCTCAGTTGACTGTCACATGTTCAAATGCTTTTTCTCCCGCTCAGCATCCTTGAAAGACCTGGTTCCAGCTAATTAAGCACTGAAGTGAACCCTCCTGATTCGGTGTGCCCCCAAAAGCAAGATGGTTCCTGAACAACGACCCAGAATGATCCTTTAGATAAAGCAGTTAGACCTTGGGTTTCTTCAAACTGTCTCCACCTGAAACTGCTATAGTGGAAAACAACACAAAATGCAATTATCCTGAAGAAATGCAGACCCACTTTTGAAAATTCATTAAATTTTAAACTTTAGCAATGCCAGAATTCTTAAAGAGAGCTTTTTGCTTGCTTATGTGTGGCTCTAGGGATGGAACACAGGGCCTCACACATTTAGGAAAGCACTTGGCCAGAGATATACCTCAGCTCTTAAAGAAAGTTTCTGTCTAGAAGGCAGGCACTTGGAGACGGGAAAGGGGATTAGAGGGAGGAAGGGGGGATCAAAGGACTGAAAACAATCCAGATAGGTTACATGCATGTACTAATTCCCTAAAATGAATATCACTATTCTATATTACAAACACGTAATAAAAAAGTTTGCTATTCAAAGTGAAAATGAAATTAATGCCCCTGATTATGCACTTCCTCATGTTTAGAGTGGCAGAATTTATATGAAATGTTTTACCACAGCAAAAGTAAAGAAAAATATACCAATAAAATTTTAAAAGTGATTCATTGAGAATGCCAGAGTGTAGAGTGACGGCCAGGTCTGCAGACGAGGAGCCAGGCTTCCACCAGAAATTACTCTCACAGGACGGCTTCACAAGCATTTCTGTTTTCAGCCTGAAGGAAGGATCTTCTGAGAAGGCGTGCACTTATTGTTTGGCTGTCACTGCTTTTTCCTACTTTTTTTTCTCTCCTAACTTTACAGTTGTGCACCTCAAAGTAGTGCAAAGCAACCACTTATAATGTGGGGCTTTTGTAGACAGGAAAGTTTTGCTACCCTAGAGGCCCCACGCCCCAGTGGGACTAAGGAATGTCTGAATACGCAATGCACCCACGTATATGAGTCTCTTAGCCAAGAATAGTTGTGCTCATTGTCTTTCTTTTTCTCCTTGTTTTCATTGAGTTTATTGGTTCTTTTTAGGTATACAATCCATTTACATTCCTCACTGGGATCTTGTACCTTTACATGACAGATCTTGATTCTCATTGTTTCCCCATACCCCTGCCCTCCCTCCACCCCCTCCTCCCTTACCTATTTACAAAGACTTTGTTTCCATTTTTTCCTTTTCTCATATTTTTGCTTTTCTCTCCTTTCCTTCCCCCTACCCTTCCAACTTCCCCTGCATCTCTAGCCCTTTTCTTCCTACTTCACATTATCAGTTATACCATTTGAATCTTATTTACACTTTTAGTTTTTCAAATATGAGAAACTATTCAGTATTTACATGTGTGTGTCCTGTTTAGTTCACTTAAGAGGATGGCCTCAATACGCATCCATTTTCCTATAAATGACTCTAATTTCTCATTCTTTATGGCTGAGTAGTATTCCATTTTATAGAAAAACCACATATTCTTTATCCAGTCTCCAACTGATGGGCAACTGGGCTGTTTCCAAGTTTTAGCTATTACAAACTGTGCCACTCTAAAGATGGGTGTGCATATATTGCTGTGGTATGATTCTTTTGGAAAGATAGCAAGCAGAGGGATAGCTGGGTCAAATGGAACCTCTAATTCTAGTTGTTTGACATATCTCCATATTGATTTCCACGGTGGTTGCACCAGTCTGCACTCCCACCAACAAAGGAGAAGGATTCCTTTCTCCCCATCACCCCACCAGCATTTGTTATTGTGTGATTTCTTGATAGCAGCCATTCTTTCTGGGGTGAGGTGGATTCTCAGTGTTGTTTTCATCTGCATCTCTCCAATGACCAGTGATGTGAAACATTTTTTCATGTATTTGTTTGCTGCTTTTAATTCTTTATTTGAAAAATGTCTATTCACTTCAGATGCCCACGTTTTAATTGGGTCTTTATATTTGGGTGGCCTGATTTTTTTGAATTCTTTATATATGATAATAGTCCTTTGTCTGAGGAGCAGCTGGTAAACGTTTTTTCCTACATTGTAGGTATTCTCTTAGCTTCGTTGGTGATTGCTCTTGCAATACAGAAGCTCTTTTAAAAAGATGAGATCCCAATTGTTGATTCTTTGTGCTAGTTCCTGTTGTACTGAAGATTTGTTCATAAAGTCTATTCCTATACTAATGTCTTCAAGAGTTCTATCTAACTTTTCATTCAGCAAGTCTAGTGCTTCTGTTTTAATATGTAGATCTTTAATCCACTTGGATTTTAGATTAGTGCATGGTGAAATATAGGGGTCTAGTTTTAAACTTAAACAGGTTGAAATCTACTTTTTCTAGCACCATTTCTTAAAGAGGATATCTTTCCTCCAGTGAGGATGGTTGGCTCCTTTTTCAAAGATGAGGTAGCTGAGTATGTCTGGAGTTGTTTCTGCATTTTCTAATCTATTCCACTGATCCTGGGGTCTGTTTCTTTGCCAGTACCATGCTGTTTTATCACAGTGGCTTTGTAGTATAGTTTCAAGTTGGGGATTGTGATATCCCCTACCTTGTCTCTGTTGCCTAGAATTGCTTTTGCTATTCTAGGTCTGTTCTTATTCCAAATGAGTTTTTGGATGGTTTTCTCTAGTTCTATGCAATGTACTGTTGGGATTCCAACTGGGATTGCATTGAATCTGTACAGAAGTTTTGGTAGTATAGCCATTTTCACTATGTTGATTCTTTCTTCCCAGATGCAAGGGATATCTTTCCATTTTCTTATATCCTCCTCAATCTCTTTTTTCAGAATGCTGTAGTTTTCAGTGTAGAGGTCTTTTGCTTCTTTCATTAGATTGATTCCTAGATACTTTTTTTTTGGTTGTGATTGTGAAAGGGATTGTTTACACTATTTCTCTCTTTCTCTCTACTTTTGACTTTTTCAAAAAAGTTGTCACTATGTAGTCAAGATTACGCTTGATCTCTCTATATAGATGAGTCTAGCATAAAACTTACTCTCCTCCTGTCTTGGCGTCAAAACGATTCAAACTACAGGCATGGGCCATCTGAAAAAACGTGTCTTAGACATTATGTACTTAGTGTTACATTTTCAGAAACTCCATAACAACAGAACATACTCCAAACTCTTTTCTTCACATTCTTCCTCCTTGAATATTTCTAAATTACACAATAAGAATTTCATGCAAACATTCAAAAATGACATTCTTCAGCATAATTGGGTTGATTCCGTCTTAGGCAGAGCTCATGGAAGGGAGAAGCCCCACGGAGTGCAACTCAGATTTTCTGCTGGAAACATTCTCTCCTGGTCTAAACTCCAACATCCTCTGATCTCTCATTCAACTGGACCTGGGTGTTTGGATCTCTGACTTTGTTTGTGCACGGTGCCATTTTAGCAGAACTCCTGCTAGGGAAGTGTGGCCATCCTCCTCCCTGAACCCCCTCAGTATCTGGTCGGTTGCTCATCCTTTCCCATCCCCTGGGGATGTCTGATCACTCTGTTCCAGGTGTAGCAAGGACCCCATTAGGTTGGCTCAACCAGAATGCTCCATTACCCCAGACCCTTGTCTTACTGAGGTCCACGCCCCGAGCTCTAGCCTGGTCCTGAGCTGTGTATACCCACTTGTGCATACTTCATGCAGGCGAGCTCACTCTCTGCTCACTGCCCGACCCCGTCGCTCTGATCCCTACGACCCTCTGACCCTCAGCCCTGTGTCTGTAAAGACCCTGGAAGCCCACGGTGTCTGAGCCAAAGGGACACGGGGATACAGTTCCGTCCTCACCTCAGCTCAGCCCTGCTCCTGTGCTCTTCTCTGACTGTGCCTAACTCGATTGTTCCCCGTGAAATAAAGTCTTCCTTAACATGTCCAACCAGCCAAAATTATTTCTCTTAGAGTGCTGGCGATTGAACACAGGATCTTCATGCAGAGCTATGTCCTCAGCTCATTTCTTATTTTGAAACAGCATCTGGCTAAGCCCTGGCTGGCCTCAAACTCGCAATCCTGCTTCAGCATCCCACAGTGCGTGTGCCACCGAGGCAGTGAACATCATTTTCACTTTAACAGTTATG